ATTTGGATTTGTGCCACTGCTGTCAGGTGGCTTTGCAATGTTTTAATCAAAAAGTTAGATTAGCATAATTGCCATTTTAAATATAGCCATACCGGTTATTATGCAAAATTACATTTTATTCGTTATTTTTCTTTTTTGTCTATTATCTACATGGAAAATAACCAAAATACCCAAGGTAACAAAGCCAATATTCACCACTCCAATTAGTCCACCTCATCAGCAGCCACCCCCACCTTCCGGTATTAGCTCCCATGTCCTATCCACCATCGTTCGCCAACACTCGTCCTTGCTCTCATCCTCTATTGACTTGGTTTGTCACTAATTGTCAACTTATGTTCCGACTCTGAGCTAAGTACATAGATTGTTACAATTTATTATTTTCTATAGATATTTTATGTATATTGTACATAATACTTGTATACTATTTTTCTATTGATAGTTTTCTACTTTGTATACTATTTCTTATATATTCTTTCACTAACAAATATAGGAGATGGATGGACCATTGTCCAATAAAAAACTATAATTTTGTGGATGGCCCACAAAAAATAATTTAGGAGGAGATGTGGCCATTTCATGGGAGATGTTGTTAGAATATTAAACACTATGCAAAGCCACCCAACCAAACAAGACTCGGGTAGAGGAGACTAGCTTTAAGGCCAGTTTTGGCAAGTCTGTAGCTCCTCATAAAGGAGATTTTTTTTAATTTTAACCCTTTTTAATTTAATTTTATATCTAACACTATCGGGTTTTTTATTTTAAAACTAACACTTTTGGCCACGTCTATTTTCCTGGCGCGGTTAAATGCCTGTGCCGCGCCATGCATGGTGGCGCGGCAAGAGAGATGACGTGGCAATGACCGGAGCGCTGACCGGTGACGTGGCTGGGTCTGCCGCGCCACCGATCTTGGTGCGGCAGTGACGCGCCACAGCTGATGGCGCGGCAAGAACGGGATTAATTCGCCGGGCGGACGCCGTGGCGGCAGAGCACTGCTGCCTGCCAACGTGCTGCGTGTGCTGCCACCACGTGATCACGGAAACCTGGGGCCCCACGTTTGTTTCTCAAGAGGTAGCAAGAGGACATTGATTAATTCCAGATTACCTTTAGAATGTCTAGCTCAAAAAATAATAGATTTAATATAGTTATTTGGTAGTTGGTATTATAAATCTTAATAAAAAAATTAATTTATGCATTCTGTATAGCGCAAAACGTCAAGAGCAGGTGAGCAAGCTATACAGTGTAAATTAATTTATGCATTCTCTTTGCAACAGTGCAGAGCGACGGTGTCAGGGACACTGTCCGACGCATTATGTCACTACTCACACGTTGTATGCATAGCTGTTGAGTCAAAGGCTGCCGCTGCTGGTGTGCTGTGCGCCAAGTGTGCTCTTGTGAGCGGTTGTGCAAGTGGCAAGCTACTAATGGTTGTAGCTCTCGTAGCTAGTACGGTCTGGCCTGGACATGCACAGCCCAAGCAAGCAAAGCAAGCATGCATGCTCTAGTGGAGTAGCTCGCCTCTACTCCCTTCATCTCAAAATAAAAGCATATCTAGATTTCAAAGAGGCAACATAAGACATGTGCAAAATGACAAAACTACTCCTATAGTAAGACACTCATCTGGTGTTCCATGCATCCGGAGACAGTTAGCTTGTGGCTAGAAATTATCGAGAGAAAAAACTTGTGGTCAGGAATGCTCTCATGCGCTAGTGCCGGTGAAAATGTACTGCAGCTCTGTCCGTCAGGTTAGAACTAGTGACCTATGTGATCGATTAAATTGGGAAAAAAAATGAACTCCAAATGTCCATTTAATCCAGGACGGAGGGAGTAGTAGTGAAGGGAAGCATAACTGAGCATGTACGACGTGCCAACTGACAAGCCGGTGATGGAAGCAACAGTGGTCATGACGGAACCGAGAGCCCTGTCCCCTGTAGCCTGTAGGGGTCTTCTCAGAAACAACCTATTGCTATTGCTAGTGTAGAGCACCACCTATTTTCATCCAGAGCCTCATTAGAATGAATATACCAGTACCAGATTGTGACCAAACAGAAAAGTACTACAAGTCGTGTTCGGTTTGGCTGGCTGATTGTCGGCTGACCAGCCATCTCACAAAATTACTATTTATGTCATGTCAAAATAGTATTTTTCTCTCACAACAATCAGCCGAAACAGTATTTTTCAGTCCTGCCGAACAGGCCCACAATCACAGTTGTGCAGGGCATGAGCATGGGCACAGTGTTTCGCTGCTTTTCTGCTGCCCTAGGAGATATGGCACAAATGCAAAGCAGTGGGGGATACGCACGGATACCGAGACAAAGTGGCAGACAAAGCTTTTGAATTAAGGGGGTGTTTGGTTCTTTAGTCGCTCCTAAAATTCATGTCACATCGAATGTTTAGATACTAATAAGGAGCATTAAATATAGATTAATTACAAAACCAATTACATAGATGGAGACTAATTTCCATGACGGATTTTTTAAGCCTAATTAATCTGTCATTACCACATGTTTACTGTAGCACCACATTGTCAAATCATGGACTAATTAGGCTTAAAAGATTCGTCTCGCAAATTAGTCGCAAGTTGTGCAATTAATTTCTTAATTAGTCTATATTTAATATTACATGCATGTGTCCAATATTCAATGTGACAGAAAATTTAGGAGATTCTGTGGTAAGCAAACAGGGCCTAAAGCATGGGCGCTGCTGCTGCCGGACACTCACAGCACTGCTACACGCTAGAGCTGCGTCGTGCGGTCAGAAGCATGTGCACACCCTCTCCGGAGGACGCATCGTAGCAGGCCGCGCAGCCGCGCCTGCGCCACGGCACTGGACTGGTGGGGGAGGCCAGTGACATGACCGGCCAGTGGCAGCACGGGCAGCAGTCCATAGTCCTTGGTAGGACAGGACACGGCTACAGGAAGAGCGAGCCGCAGAGGATGAGGATGAGCCCTGAGGACGACGTGGGGCCCCAGGTTTCCGCGATCACGTGGTGGCAGCACACGCAGCACGTTGGCAGGCAGCAGTGCTCTGCGGCCGCGGCGGCCGCCGCGAATTAATCCCGTCCTTGCCGCGCCATCAGCTGTGGCGCGTCGCTACCGCGCCAAGACCGGTGGCGCGGCAGACCTAGCCACGTCAGCGGTCAACGATTCCGGTCGCCGTCACGTCAGCCCTCTGTCACGCCACCATGCATGGCGCGGCACAGGCATTTGGCCACGCGGCCGCGCTAGGGCAATAGGCGTGGCCAAAAGTGTTAGTTTTAAAATAAAAAAACCGACAGTGTTAGATTTAAAATTAAATTTAAAAAGGGGTTAAAATTAAAAAAAAATCCATAAAGGATGGCTCCTCTTGTGGAGTAGCTTCTCTGGTGGACGCGAAGCCCTTTTGAAAGCGTTTGATTAAAAATGACTTTAGCTTCCAGTGATAATTTTATTATAATTTATGCCAAGTTTACGGGAGATGGAATAAACTACATTTTCACGACTCCGTTGGAGTCGTCATATGGTAAGGCCGCTCCGAAAACCTTAGCCCGTAAGTCCCATAGCCAAACACAATAGACTCGCTTGTGTTAGCCTCTCTATCTCTAGCTAGGCTAATCTTAGCTAGTTTTTTTTAGACGACAATCTTAGCTAGGTTAGGAATAAGCCATGCAACTAAACAACCTCATATTATAGCATTAGACTTAGTATGTCTGGACGTTATCTTAACATTTCATAACCTTGTGGTGATCTAGCCATTTGCACTTTTTATGTTGGTTGCCATGCTTTAATGCATGTGCAAAACTTAGTCATAAACTCATCATGCTCAAATTTAAAATGTACGCAAGATTTGTTTAAGTTTTGTTGTCAAGATTCTTTTGACATCTATCAAAATTGTGCAAACGTTTGATAATAAAAAATGGGCAATACCACCCATCGGACGTCAGCCCTTTCGGGATTCCTTAGAGCAAAATAATAAAAAATATAGTGGCAAATGCGCAAGCAGTACAAACTAATAATCATTCTATAGCTGAATCCACAACATTTCCAACCGAGAAACCTTCCCATTTCCATTACTTTCATAACAGAAATACAGAGTTTACGGGAATAACAGAAAGTGTTTAGAAGAATTTAAGCCCTACGCGCCGGCTAGGCTAATGGGATACCCAAGGCTCTGGCTTAGAGTCGGGGGTAACCAGAGGTAGAGGTAGAGTCTACCAACAGGTGTCCAACATATGACAAAACATCAAGTCCTAATGAACAGGGGCAAACTCAACCTTAAGTTTGATAAAGTACTGGCGAAATCACATAATTGAAAAAATTAAGGGGACAATCAAAATCAAACAGGGGTACAGTTGTACAGACAAATGCGACAGAGGCTGCGTTCGCTGGTCTGATCCGGCTGCTCCTCCTCATAACAACCAGCCAGTTTCAGCCGCTACAGTGTTTCTCTCTCACAACAACCAGCCAATTTCAGTCAAGTTTCAGACCAGCGTCTCACAACAACCAGCCAAGTTTTAGACCAGCGAACGGCCAGAGTAATTCCCATTGAGCATTGGTTGATGTTGACGTATGCTGCTTTCAGTTCGTAGTGATGGATGGAAATGGTTGGTCCTTCACCAACTACCATCCTAGACTCATTCCATTTGCCAATCTGTCTAGCCACACATACAAGAATGCTCACCATGGGAGCAAAGGACTGCATTCAACGTTACCCAAAACAATATCCATCGAGACAACTTTTCACTCTTTCAGCTAGAACTAAAGTAACACTCTTACATGAGCTCAGTTGGTGTGATGAACTGAAGGAACGAACCCTGGAATTAATCATTTGATACATCAGCACTGCAATACACCAGGAAAGAACATGCAAATTCCCCATGCGATATCAGCATGGCTGTGCAACCCTTCCAAACGTGAACTCCAGGCACCCAAAACCTTCTACAGAACCAAAGCCTAGATAAGATAGGATGTTCTCTGATCTGAAACCTCGCATACGTGATACAAAGAAAACAATCACAATCAAAACTAATCCTCGTCCATCCCACCACCAGGCTGGGCATCTCTTCTTGGACCTCCTGCCGGCTTGGCCATGATGATCTGAACAGTTCATATTTATTCAAATATTACCATGTGCTCCTATGAAACGCAAGCATCAAAAAGAATTTAGAACGTAAGCTTGGAGTCATACCTGGTCAACCCGTAGCACAGTGCATGCAGCATCGGCAGAGTATTTTAGGGCAAAAAACCTGTACAGCAAAACAAGCAAAGTGAGAAATCTGCTAAGGGATCATCATAAGCAGCTTAAACTGCCACACAAGATGTGCAAACCCATGCCCCAATTTGAGGACAAGCGTATGTAGACTAACAATGGTGCAAGCATTTTCCACATCCAATGAGCACATGTTCAATTACCACAAAAGATCGAAAACATTCTTAAACCAGCTTACACATGATGCCTACATCTGATCGACTTACTTTGTGACATAGAGGTCCCATATTTTTAAGGTCGAGATGTCCTTGCAGGCACCTTCCTCCAGGTCAATGCCAACTTTCACATTGCCACTAGCATGCTCAGCATAAAGAGAGGATATTATCTCCATTGCGCTAAGTCCAGCATTTTCTGCCAGGGTTCTTGGAACCATTTCAAAGCTTTCAGCAAATTTTGCAATGGCATACTGGTCCAACCTGTACAATTATTAACAGCAACCAACAAATGATTGAGGGAACATAAATTGACTTTTTTTTTACAAAGGGTTAACCCTGCTCATATTGAAAGCAGATGTACTCTTACCCTGTACATGAGAAGTTATTAACTATTCATGGTAAAAACAAACTTACCCTGTTTCCTTCAATGAGAACTCCTTCAATCTCTTTGCCAGCTCTATTTCTGTTGCAGCAGCACCAGGAATTATCCTACTGTCCCTGCACATTGACTAGCAGAAACAAAAAAGTGAGAACTCGGATAGATTAGCTAGACAGCATGGATGTTACAATACAATAAAAGAGTTAGGTCACAACTATTTTAGATACCACACAATACAGATATACCTTGTACGTATTGACGCCATCATCAACAGCTCTTTCAAGATCATCTAGTATACTGTCAGTACTGCCTCTCAAGACAACAGTAGCCACTGAATTTCCACCTTCTTCGTTCTTGACGACAGTAACCTTATAAATAAAAAACAAAATAAAATGAATGCTGGCGAGGAAGCATAAAGATAGATCTTCTGTAAAAGCACAAAGGGGGTAGAACATACTCGAGTACCACCAATTTCTTCAACGGAAACAGAGTCTGCATATCCTAGTTCGTCCGCATTGGGTTGGCTAAGTTTCAACTATATTTCAAAAGAAAACAAAAATCCAAAATCAGAATAAGTATGCTACTACAACACAGGAACAAATACATCTGAAAAATCAGAACGTACAATTGCAATAGCCCCAGTAGTACGGCAGAATCTTCTCAGTTCAAACTTCGAGCTGATTTTCAGAACCATCAGTCTGCAAACAGAACATCAGTAAGTAACTGCTATCAAAAAGGTCAACAGCCACACATCCATACAGTCCTCAATTTTGGAGAAAATATAACATGATAATGCTCCAGTCTAAAAGGAATTTTCAACAAAGATCAATACTGCACAGAGAATTCAGGTAATATATTCAGTTCAGAACACATGAAAAACAAAAAACTCACTTGTAACGTTCACAGAAATGTAGTGCCATGTCACCAACTGCAGCTCCACTGACAATAACCTTGGCACCTGAGTCAGCGACAGCTTTGATAAGCTCCTCCACCTTAGCTTCCTCGGTCTTAGAATAATTTTCTAGCTGCAAAAGCATATGTATTATAGATTCCAACATATAATTTTGTAGATTACAGCTTGCAATGCGCTACAGAAGCAAAGAAAAATCATGTGCTCCATTTTTAAGTTCAGCGTATCCATAAGAAATCAATCCACAGATTATGAAAAAGGAATGTACTGTTGAATGCACGTCTACATAACATAAAACACACAAAGCCAACTAAACAGCTTTGCAACACTCAAACCTTCATGAGCATAGTAAAAGTAGGGATGACTTTAACAGAAGTAAAAAAAAAAAAATCTCAGAGTAAGAACATACCTGCTCAGCGGAATGAATCAACACGGTTCCCTTTGTTTCAGTTGCTGAGGTATCGACACCACCAGCAAATACTGCAATCTGAATATTGATTGGTTTTAGAATTCAGAAAGAAACACTGCCAGAAAACATACAGAAAAAGATGGGTACTGTGTTGTAATTGGTTAGGATTCCTGTGCATATTGAATTTCTAGCACCATGTTATAACATATAACTGCCCATTTAATTAAAATCATAGTTCCTACCCATTCATTGCCCTTAGCAGCAGCGTGAACTAGAAAGACAGAAATTAATAAAAATACTGTTCTATGAAGTGTGATTTTTAAGAAACAGAAAAGATTACAATAGCACTGAACATAACACAAGCAAATGAAATGTGTTGTGCCGTAACCGCTTTAAGTAGGAATTGGTTTGCCAGGGCTTTATGAGTGATGTAATGCTACATAAGCATACATGATTCACTTGGCAGTAACAAAATATACAAACAATGAACACATGAGTAACTGATTATCCTTGAGCTTCCAACAACAAATACTTGTAACCTTGTGAAAATAATATTTAGAGCTCCATCCATTGCCCATTTCATTAAAAAATTCAAAATCAATAAAAAGGAAGGGTATAGAACTTTCACAGGTATAACCAGTGTGCAATGTGAATGAAGAGTAGCCTTTTGAGCTTACCTTTGCCTTCTCCACCCTTTTGATGCTACCAACAGCATCATTTTTCAGAACCATCCCACGGACCACAGAAGAATTGTGCAAACCACCTCCAAGCAGCTTAGCCACTCTAACATTGTCGACATTAAAGTTTGCAGGATTTTTGGGGCAAACTTGAATGCAGGCCTAAAAAACGATACAACAAACCCACTATCAGTTGATATCAGCATGACGCCCGAGGGTAAAAAAGGCAAAGCTCCCTATAAGCTTGTATGGATTAGCTTACATCAGCCACAAGAGGGCACAGTACATCCTCCTGGCCAAACTGTTTGCTTGCGACAGCGGATCTCATCCTCAACACAACCTCCTCCTTGTTTCTTACGTCCATGTTCTCTGAGCCTTTCTCAACAAGATCCTCCAAGATCTCAATCGTCTGCATACCAAAGACAAAAGCACAAAGAGCCTGCTATCAGATTGCATGTTTCAATGCTACAAAAGCCTATGGGGGTCAGGGGGGCAAGTCACCTTGTTGATGGCTTTGGTGTAGCCAATGATGATCTCACTCGGATGCAAGCCCATCCTGATGAGCTCCTCAGCCTTCCCAAGCAGTTCGCCGGCGAATGATATGGTGAGATTGGCTCCATCCCCAATCTCCTCCTGCTGAGCCCTGCCAGCCAGTACCAGGATCTTAGCAGCCGGGTGCTGAACCTCGAGCTCATTCACAATGGTGGCAGCATCGTTTGTGACAAACAGCTTGTCCAAGTGATTGATAACCATCTTGTTCATTCCTACATAAAGAAAACAAATAGAACTACAACATCAAGCAATCGATCACTGGAAGGTTTCAGCATCTAAGTAAAATTTAGTCAGATGCGATTTATATAATGCAGAAGACTAGTAGTAGTGCAGAATACTAGTAGTACTAGGCAAACTAATTGCTCGTGATCCAAACATTGTACAAGGCTAAATGTGATTTCAAACGGCACGCCAGTGTACAAAGCGCCGCACACTACCCAAACATTCATCAGCCTTGTCACCGTATCCCAATAAGCTCCAACAACTAGGCGACTCCTCGCTCCAGATCCCCCTCACTCCCTGCCCACTCCCCCCAACAGCTCGATCCGGCGGCCTCACGCTACGCCACCGAAGACCGAGCACGCTCATCTCGCTCCAGATCCCTTTTCACTCCAGTAGCCACCACCCGAGCCCATAACCCGCACGCGGAGCACGACTCACCGTTGGGGCCGAGGGAGGTGCGCGTGATGGCAGAGAGCTCGCGGCAGGCGTCGATGTTCTTGAGCACAGCCTCCTCGAGCCCGGAGAGGTGGCGGTGGCCCTCCTTGAGCATCGACTGGATCCCGTAGCCCGCCATTGAGCCGAGCCCCATCATCTTCGTCCCCGGCTGGGTGTGGGGGCGGTGGTCTGGCGGCGGGAGACGGCGCCGGCGGCGAGGCGGATCGGGGGGGAAGTTTTAAACCCTAGTGGGCGCTGCGTTGGGAGTGCGAGTGACGGGGATAGGCGAAAGAAGAGACGACGCGGCGCGGTCAGATCGTCTAACTTTGGCTTCTTTCCTCTGCAGTCGCGTGGAATCTGACCACTCGCTCGGATCGGACGGTGAGCAGATATGCGCTGCCCTGCTCTACACGCTGGGCTTTGGCCCAACAAGAGCACGGCCTGTTTCAGGGCCTGTTTGGAATGCGGGTTTTTTTTCCCTATTCCTACGTTTTTATGTGAAATTGAACTTATTCCTGTTAAATTCCTGTGTGATTTCCGTGAAATTCCTGCGTTCCAAACAGGCCCTCAGTAGAAAAGAACCGCGGCGTTTCTTTTTGGCACGATTTCTTGCTGTTTTGGCGCGACTCCTCTCGATTTTGGAGAACTCGGTGAAGGACGGGCGTGCCGATTGACCACGAACTGGCGGCGCGTGAGGCGACGACCGTACAAGTCTTTGAGGGAAGGGGAGTCCATAGAACGACGACGGAGGCGACGACCGTCTGATCAGCCAGAGGGAACGAGGAAGTCTCTGGTGAGCTAAGATGGGGCACCTGAAGGCCTGTTAAATTGGTTAGGTCCAATAGTTTTAGAGTCTTACGGTTGGATCTAAAATGGATGACTACGATGATCAACTGTAGAGGAAAGTTCAGGAAGCCAAAGTTAGACAATCTGATTCCCATGGTAGAACCAGAGATGCAACCCTCTTTGCTTGAAGTGTCTGCACAACAAAAACTCAATCGATTTTACGATGTACATCTGAATTTGAGAAATTTGCGCTACGTTTCGAAACATTATATTGCTTGACTTCTTCATATTTTCTATTTCTGACATGTTTTATTTTCTTTGTTCATTATTTTGGCATATGAAATGACCATAGTGACCCTGCCTCTATCTCTCTTTTTTTCTTACCTCGCGGCATCCAGCAGGAGAGCGCGGTGGAGGCTATCTATCACTTCGGCAATAAAATCACCTCCTATCACCTACAGGATGCGAAGAGGGCCAAGAAGCCAATCGACCCAATAATCTTGTCTATCACACTAGCCACTAGTAGAAACGCCGTACGTGTTTAGAAAAAAAAACATAGTAAGCAATAATTTATATTTACTAGCAAATATGCCCGTGTATTGCAACCGAAGAAAAAAAAACCTATTAAACATTTATATAAAATGATAATGGAAATGGTATATTTCTGTTTATGTTTTACCTTTTCTCAAAGTTCAGCTAGCCGCTAGGCGGAATCTAGGCGCTGACCCACTGCCTAGCGCCTAGTCGGGAGTACTCGGTCCTAGACGCTTCTAGGCGTTTTCTTAGGCGTTTTGGCAATATAGCCATAAATTATATATATATTATGTATATAACTATATATATGTATATAACTACTATATATGACTATATGAGTCACAATATAATGAGTAAGTAGTAAAAAAGAGGGCGATGAGACATATCGATTCCTAGTCTGGCTTACTCTTGCTTTCTTGCATGTTCCTAGCTCCGCCTCTGCAACACATTTTCTGACTAGTAGTTAGTAAATTAGTCAATAGATAGCTATTTGGTCATCCAAAAAAATAGAAAACACTAAGTTGTGACTTATCTGGATGATTTCAAAGACCTCCCATCCATGAGCACACCATATCAAGAATTTGGTAATTACAATACAAGTGGATAGGACAATAATACAAGTGCACAACACAATTTATAAATAAAAGGACAGCACAAGCACATAGTTGATAGTTCCCTCTCTTGTAGTTCAATACAAGTTGCACAACACAATTTATAACTAAAGGGACGATTACAATACAAGCTGCAGTTCATATTTCTAAATCACTGTAGTTCACATCCTCATCGTCATACTCTTCTTCTTGAGACTCAAATTCTTCTCCTTCATAGAGCTCCCTCACTCTTGCACTTCTACGCAGCTCAAGGCTGTTCATCCGCCTCCCCTTGCCTCTCCAATGATGCAGACCAAGGTATCCGGTACCTTCCATCTCATCTTCCTCCCCATCTCTAAAAGTCAGCTAATGCACAATCATCCCCACCCTCTTGAGAAAACCTTGAGCTTCAGTTGTATCACTAGAATGAAGTATCTCGATGATTTTATTTGACTTCATCTTTTCTCTCTTACTAAGAAGCTTGGAGTTGAATTGGATATACACTAGCTTGTTGAGGCGGGTTGTAGTAAGCCTATTCCTCTTCTTAGTGTGTATCTACAATTTAAAAAGAGCATTCTCGGTTCTACAATTACATTGTAATGTCTTTGAAAGCTTTGAAACATGTTCATAAATTATAATAGATAGGTAGTTAGGTACTAACCCTTCAAACCCACTCCAATTTCTTTTTCACAACTTGAGAAGAGCTTGATGTCAAAGATAGGATCCTTGTAGCCAGCCGTAAAGTTGGTGTTTCATATCCATACAGTCTCCACTATGATCTTTGAAATAAAAAAAACACCTCTATTAGTTTAGAAAAGCAAACAAACAACAAACAACCATGAGCCATAGGAAGTACCTCTACCGGGTTGTAATCAAAGTTTTCAAAATTCCTAGCAAGCTTCTTGCTAAAGGGTCCTTCTCTATTCTGAAACTTCTTTATGACCATATGTTGCATGTCCTCATCATGATAAAAAATTTCTCAACACAAGATATAAACCCTTCTGATATTTTGGGCTGATCAAAGATTGATGGGTCACTATAGCTATAGTGAGGATTCAGCAAATAGGCTGTCAAATGCAATGGAGAATCAAGTCTTCCATTCATCTTCTTGTCAATAATAGCTATTACATCCTTGAACCGAGCCTCAACATTTTCAAAGGCCTCTTTGATCTGTCTCTTTGCCTTTAGTAGTTGTTCATAAAGGAAACCCATGGATGGCCTCACATCCCCATCAACCAAACGGAGGACTTTGACCAATGGCTCAAAAACAGTCAATGTTAGCTTCACATCCTTCCAAACACTTGGACTCAATATAGTTGCAGTTGCCTCTTTTCCTTTCTTTGATTTCACATCCTTCAATGAGTCCCACCTACTATGAACCACCATCTTCCTTAACTGGTCCTTCTTCTCTTGCATGCTACTCAAAGTGAGAAAGTTTGAAGCAAACCTAGTCACTCCTGGCCTCACTACCTCTTTCCCCTTTGTGAAGTATCTCAAGCACTCCAATGTCCTTGTGTGGCCATAGACAAATATGGTAAATGCCTTTGCTTGGTCAACCACTTTCTTGAACCGAGTCAAGTTGCCAATTCCTTGGAGCATAAGGTTGATTGTGTGAGCTGCACAAGAGGTCCAAAATATGTGTGGTCTCTTCTCTTCCAATAGCCTCTTTGCTCCCATGTGTTAGAGGCATTGTCAGTCACTACTTGCACCACATTGTCTGGACCAATCTCTTCAATTGCTTTGTCCACAAGATCAAAGATGACCTCACTGGTATGTGAGACATGTGACATCTCCTTAGAGCTGATGAAGGAGGTTCCATCAGCACAATTGGTGCACAGATTCATTATGCTTCTCCTCTTCCTATCTGACCAAGCATCAGTCATAATAGAACATCCATTTTTCATCTTCTCGGCTTCACGCTCCTGCAGCAAACTCTTGGTTCTTTCATATCCTTCTTCCAGCAACTTCCCTCGCAGTGCATCCTGAGTTGGAGGTACAAGTCCTGGACCAAACTGTCCAATTGCTTCGCACATTTGCTTGAACTCATCATTATCACATGCATTGAAAGCAATTCCTGCCAACACAACATTGAAAGAAGCATAATTAGTGTTCAGTACAGGAAAACAACATCTAATGAACTTTGAAATGTAAAAACAGCATAGTATACTAGCAATTTACCATGTGTATAGGCCCATTTTGCAATGTATTTATGCACCCCATTGGTTCTTTCTTTCCAAAGTTCCTTGTTCAGCTGTTGTTACTTCAAAGAATCAGACTTGGTAGCTTTAGAATCAATAGCACGTGTCCATTTGTCAATGGGTCCTAATTTGTGGGGCTCTGAACTTCCAACACATGTAACTTCATCTGAATCTGTTCCAACCCTAGATACATGAACTTCCTCTCTAATTTCTAGCTCACGAACAGTCTTCTCCTCCCTCTTCCTTTTTGCATCAGCTAGTGCCTTCTTGTACTTCTCTTTAGCCTCCATAGCCTGTGGTGTTCTTGCTGTGCATTTCTTCACATTATTTCCTTCATGAGCCAAATGCTCCTTCAACCTATGAATCCCTCCTCTCATCTCCTTGTCACAGAGCTTGCACTTCACCTTGTCCTTGTTGCTAGCATCAACAAGAACACCATACTCCCATCCAACATCATCTGAGTTCCTTTTCAGGAGATTAGTTGCCTCAGTGCCTGTTGCATCTGGTGCAGAAACACCTTGTTCTGTCGACATCCTGCATTCAAATTCAAGAGTTCAGTCATACTTGTTATAAGTAACAAATTCAAGAGTTCAGTCATACTTCTCAGAATCCAACTTTATTTTGCTATGATTTTGCTACAATGATTCTTGCTAAGTTATAAGTAAAATGACAACAATGCACTGGTAAATCAATAAATCATATCCATTCATGACATATACATAGATCCACTAGCTGGATCCTAATTTCCCAGAAATGAGACAATATTTCTTATGTCATAGTGTCATACTCATGATTTTTATGACACATACATAAATCCAAGCAGACAGTAGTGCTGCCGGCATAGTGTCATACTCATGATTTTCATGTCATAGTGTTGTCGGCATGGGAGGGGAGAGGAGCATGGGAGGAAGGAGCTCACCTTGGGGACTTGGGGTGGGTCAAGGGAGGGGTTTCGATCGAGGACAAGCGGGGGCCATGCATGAAGCCGGGGGACGAGCTTGGACGAGCGGGGGAGGAGCAGAGGAGGAGCAGGACTGTCTGGGAGGAGC